ATATATTCAAATATGGAAATGAATAGATGTGGGCTTTTTTTAAGGTTTCTTTACTTATCTGTTTTCGCGATGTGCGAACATTTCTGGTTTAATTAAGAGTATGAAAATGAAGTTAGATGAAAATACCGGTATATGGTCCAGATTCATTTCACAAGTGAGTGTAGCTCATGGTTTCCTGACCGTCTGTTGCCATAGAGCCACTAAGAGAAAAGATCGCACAATTAGTTAGTTTGCCTGAATAATAGATCAGGTTCTCAGCTACAAGGAAGCAAGGAAGAATACCTCGCCTTTCGGCCACCTTGTAGTACATGGTGCTGTGCCGAGACAGTTTCGTAAGCCCGATATTTTCCCTCTTACTAATACTAGCTGTAGCTCTGGACCAAGTCTGATTCAGAGTTCTTTCACTCAGTCGCTTAAACTCTACGTACACACTGACTAACCACATAGTAACGGATGGCGCAAAAGTTCTGCATTAATTTTGGTTTTGATATAGCGTTGCAATAGAACACCATAGAGACTGTATCCTTTTTTTGTTAGAAAGAGCAAAGTGTCTAGTACAAAAATATATAAAAATGTTTGATCGGAAATGTTTTACGAAGGTCAGAAAAATGTTCGAACAAAAGGCATCGGGAAACTGTTCCGCAACCTTTTCGAATATAGAAAAAATGTCGCCCAATAAGAAAGTTTATCTTTTTTTAGTCGTTTTACTCCGAGCTTTATAATGTTCGGTCAGGGTGCTGTTGCGGGAAAAAAAAATTTCCTTGCTGTTTTAGAACGGTCGAAATGCGCGCTTTTATAACGTCCTATTTAACACCGATTTTTCATCACTGTCGATCGCAGTCGAAAAGAAAGCTTATTGAGTCCTCTACCAAGCGATATTATTTGGAATAGAATACTGCTGCTCTGTGAGACATTGGGACAAAAAGTTGCTTTCGCGTTGTAAACACCAAATTGAGTTTTTAATCAAAGGGTCATCTGTTCAGTTTCTTGTTCTCAAGGCCAAGTTTTTTAATATCATACGAAAGTCTTCGTTGTAATGAACAACTTCATATATGTGGTGCTTGAAAACATCAAAAGTGGGTAATGAAAAAGGTCAAACAAATATATTTGGATACAAGAATTGTGGGAAAAGTTTCCCGATGCCATTTGTTCGAACATTTTTCTGATCTTCGGAAAACACTTTTGCCATATACTCACAATACTCTTATTCTGATAGCGGAAGTGAGTGAAAAAGGTGAAAATCTTATATATAAAAATTGGTATAACAAAAACTTATAATAAGGGGAAAATTTCCAGTATTCAGGGTTATGATCACCACTCAGTTGAATGATAGTTGCATCAAGCAGGTGAATTCAAAGAAGTTTAACACTACGGTAGGCTGTATAAGTGATCTCCGCAGATTTAGTTGCGTAATTATCGGATGATCTCCTTATTAGTACTCCCAGCAAAGTTTTTTGCATGGGAGTGCCAACAGACTCACCTAAAATGTATTATAATAAATGTCCTTCTTCCACTATAGATTGAATTGTTGAGTTGCGGCCTGTTATCCCTTTGAGGACGGATGGGTCATTTTTGACCCACCTATTTATCAGTATTTAGTTCACATTAAACGATTAAATATGTAAGGTCATTAAGGTCATAAACAACTACATTTGTCATCTCATACTTTTCTTTTCTTTCTCTCATATAAACTCTTTTTAAATATCCATTGTTCTTGCTGCTAAGATACAGTGACGTCATAGATTCTCTCTTCTTCTCCGATCTTTTGTTTTTCGAGAATATTCTCATTCTCGATTGGGTGTATATTTATATCACTCGTTCTCATTGATGAATTTACGTTGCTCTTGAATTTGGAAAGCATATCATTTCTTTCTGTACTATTTATTTCTTTATACCATTTTTACAATTAAAACTCAAGAAATGGAATTCTTTGGAAATAATGAAGTCGACGACGAGTTCTGTGATTCATATGCCAGTGATGACACCAGCGAGAGTGTCTTCTTTCGATTATGATGACCCAGTCGATAACTTAGATGAGCTTGAAGTTTCTGATGAAGATTCGGATATGTATACAGAGGAGCTGAATTCAATGAATGAAAGTCATATTACGGATGGCGGCTTTACCTCCATCTCTCTCAAAGAGCTAACTCCAGTTGCAGTCTTTAGAACCTTTTTTACTGCAGAAATTGATTACTGATCAAACAAACATTTATGGAAAAGGAAAGAAACGAAGTAATAGTCAAAGAAAAACCAGTAACTGGAAGGATGTGAGCAAAAAGAGATTGAATCGTTTCTCGGATTGATTATTCTGATGGGTATCAATGACTTGCCGAATATAAAACTTTATTGGAGTAAGGATATGGTATTCCGTAATACATTTATCTCTTCGATCATGTCACGAGATCGTTTACTTCAAATTTTTTATAATTTACATTTGGCTGATAGTTCATTCGAACCAAAACGAGATTCCAAAAAAACTACAGTAAAATTTACAAAGTTCGGAATTCTACTGAAATTCTATGCAGGAATTTCCAGAAAAATTATAACTTTGACCACTATGGTACAGTCGACGAAAGTATGATAAAATTTAAGGGAAGATCAAGTCTCAAGCAATATTTGCCCCTAAAACCAATAAAAAGAGGTTATAAAGTTTGGTGCTTATGTGGTTCAGTCACTGGTTATTTATTCGACTATCAAATCTATTTAGGAAAAGAGCAAACCAGTGAAAAAGAAACACCTTTGGGCGGAACGTATTGTTTCGATCTTATCTCTGGTCACAATTTCCAAGGGAAACATCTATATTTCGATAACTTTTTCACTTCTCTCAGATTGTTAGAAAAGCTAAAGCTACAGAATATAAAAGCCTGTGGAACTATTAGATCAGATCGGGCACGTATTCAGGCGGATTTTTCCAAGAGAAATAAAATGGAACGAGGAGATTGCAAGTCAATGATTACATCGAACAGCATTGTCTTCGTATGGATGGATACCAAACACGTTTTTTTGGCTTCAAATTATCATAAAGACAACGAAATTGTTCCGGTTTCCCGTCGTTTGAAAAATGGTCAACGTATTACAATTGATTGTCCGAAAGCAGTAAAAGATTACAATCAGTTTGTACATGGAGTTGAACGACTCAACCAAAGAATACCGTGCTACACTCTCGATCGCAAGTCTAAAAGGAACTGGATGCAAATGTTTATTTATTTTCTAAATATTTCCAACTAATTCATTTGTTATAGTCAGTTAACTCGAGATAAGTTAACATACTTAAACTATGTAGTTTCAGTGGCGGAGTCTCTCTGCTTCGGCAGTGAACGAATAAGTCGTGGAAGACCTCCTTCTGAAAAGAAATCTAAACTAGCATCAACAAAAACTGTCCTTAATTTTGGCAATGAAATGCATTTGCATGGGAAAGGAAAAAGAAGATGCGCTTATTGTTGCACCACAGTGGGCATTTTTCTATAGAGCAGGCGGACATATGCTCATATTATAAATGGTGGCATAAATGCAAATAAAACTGGGTGTAGTATTGGCCATATACATTCAATCCAGAGACGAGCATATGGATAATATTCACATGTTCTAGCAGATAACTTCATTTCTGGTTGATAATACTATGAAAAATGGAAATGTATTATTGATAGTTATATAATTTATATTATTAATATTATTCTTAAAAGCACTCTTTTATTTGTAAACAAATTTTAAGTAACAATGTTTTGATATTTATGGGATAATATAATAATCAAAATAGTAATTTATTAAAGTTATAAGTTGAATTTCTAGTTTATCCGACACAGTGGATCTAGACTTTCGTTCGATATCCTAACGATAATCTCATTCTAATCAAGTTTTGAGATGAATAAAATAGTTTTTAGTATGATGTTGGAAGATTCAACATTGTTTTGAGAGCTGTAGCTAACTTTTATCAAAACTGAGTTCGAGACCACAGTTTTGTGTATTCTTTTTACAAGCTTGTTTATCAGATATTTTGTCCCTATATATTACAAAGGTCTATGTAGGCCTTATTGTTATCGCTGGCCGCTGAGGAAGGAAGGTAAGACGCTAGATGGTCTCGTCAAAGCTACAACAGATGATAGCTGTAGATGACAGTGAGTAAAGAATGAGAGTATTGTAAGTATATGGCAAACGAGAAGAGAGAGGCACACGAAAAAATAAGATTTCTGCAACCAGACGAACAAACAAAGCACAAGCTCTGTACATTGAGCGACAAGCGCCAAAGCATGATTGCGAATAATGACAGCCATGTCCGAGAATCGAGCTATAGAAATTCTAACCTATCGGGGTGTTGAGAGCAGAGTCACAATTCCCCGAGAAACTGACCTTCAATTCCCGCACAGTCCCGGTAAGTTCCACGACATCCCGTAACCAGGGTGATGCATTGTCCACAATATTTATCATTCCTGTACCCACCTTGTATCGAATTCGGAGTGCGTAGGTGTGGAAAAATGTTATGTAGAATACATAGTTCTGGTTTTTGGATGTAGTGAAACTGAGGGGAACTGGAAGAGTTGACGGATCTAATCAAGGATGTTCTGTTCTTTCGACTTGAAACAATTAAAACACGTTCTTTTCTTTCTGAAAACTCATTCCTCTCACTGAACAACGCGATTTTACGAATGCATCCGAACTCGCTCTTGAAGAACAGACTCTTCTAAGTCAGAAATGCGTTCTTGCTACAAATAAAAACAACATCACGTTGACCTTGGTTTTATTTACGTGAACAACAACTTTTATTGTTTTTCAAGATGCAACACATCTGGTTACGTAATTGGGTAATCCTTTATTGTCATCAACTGCTGAATTACGTCTTGGTAATCAATTTATATCGGTGAATCATTTACAAGACATTATTAATAATGAAACTTACACTAAACTTGATCATGGCTTAACAAAATCTGACATTAACCCTAAAGATCGTCAAAACTATAGTTCCTGTTTAAAATTAACATCTATTGATTTATTTAAAATTTTAAATGATGATGTTAATACTCGGGGAACCTCGATTTATTAAGATGTTACAAATGATTATAGTAGCTTATATTGAGAAAAAAACAACGATTGCTGAACGTAAGTATGCATATTTACCATATTCACTGAGTGAGAGCAGAAAACTCTTTATTCAGGATACGTCACATGTAATAAAATTGTATTGTAGGGCTCCGATCTGCTTGGTGTGTCGTATTTTTCTGTCGAATATGGTTTACATGGATTAAATTAAAAACATTCGATTCAACGCAATCTGCAGAAAACAATACAAGCAAATACTTTATTACTAGACCAGCATATTTATCCGTGGAAATAAATGCACATAATTTATTATATTTAATTCTACTTGTTAAACAAAAACAGTTACCACCACATGTACTGCACGTTCATACTTTTAACTCGCAAGCGTGCGAATCGATTTTTGGAAACGCCCGAGCTTTAAGTGGAATCTATTCAACTATTATCAACTTCACAGTACATGATTTTTTACGACGTGTCCAGAGATTATCATTATTGAATGACATCAAATGTAAACAGTTAAATGATGAATCAGTCAATAATTTGGTCTTTCCAGTTCATTATAAACATCGAAATGATCGTCAGTCATTATTAACACAAAGTCAAACTGGGATTGATCAAATAGAGATCGAACAAGTTATTACCGATGCTTACCATAAAGCTATTGAAATGCTTGATGGTTTAGAAATATTGAATTTGTTGGAAAAAAACCGTGTTCTGGGCTTAAAATCATTAAGTGAATAAGTGTTTAAACAGTTAAATTCAAATTCAAAGATGTACGACTATTCATCTCAACTTAACAATATGGATGATGGAGAGTTTGAAATAGCTGGTGATGAGGATGACGAATCAACAAATAATCTTAACATGGATGATGAAAATAATGATAGTTTTTCCTCTAATGATGATTACTCTGATGAAGACGATATTCAAGATTCAGTAAATATCACAAAACAAAACTTCATTGGAATAAAAGTTTTCGATACAGTCGAATCTCATATGCAACATTCTTATTTTAAAGTTACAATTAATCATGATACAAAATATATACATAAACAGACTGCTTGTTGGTTATTAACAGGCGAAAAAAGTAAACTTTCAAACGATCGGTTACTTCGAGTAACGCAGAGTAATAAAGAAGAATAAATAAAGGTTTTTTCTTCGTGTAACACTTTGTTTGATTTTATTATGAAAAAAGAGGCATCTTCCTTATTTCAAAGTTTTAGTATAAATGAATGTGCTGCATACAAAAAAGAGAAAGATGATGTACATTCGTCTCAAAATTGAGGCTAATATTTATTCCATCTGATGCTACAATTGATAGAAAAAATTAAGACATAGTAGTATGATAATGTTAATATTTTTGAACTAAAAACGACAATCTTGCCGTTAAGCATGACGAACGATAGATTTCGAATGCTTGTTTTCGTACAAAAAGAGTAAAAGAGTTCGAATTTTTCGAAAACTTTTTTAAAAACGAATGGAGCAACCCAGGACCGGTTTCGATCTTGCTCAAGGATCTCTTCAGCTGGGTTATGGTGGGAAACCTCGTGGAGAAAATGAATGCACGTACTTACGTGTCTTGTTAGTCGAATAGTAACAACTTATCTTGTTTAAATAAGAAGTTATGCTCTTCTTATTGAAGAAGAAAATAAAGAACATTTTATGGATAAAAAGAACTTGTGTTCTTCTGTTCGAAAAAGGCGAAAATAAAGCACATCTCTTTGTGTATATCGCTTTTTGAATAAGAAGGAACTTTTTATTCTCTCTATCGAAAACGGAGAAAATAAAGGGCTTGTTAGCCTGTTTTTCTGGGAAAAAACGCACATTCTGCTTGAACAAGAATCCTGCACTCAGCCGACAAGACAAAAAGGAGAAAGAAAACTTCTGAGTATTCCCGGCGCCGTAAGGTGGGTTCCAGTCGAAATCTTGTTTTTCGAATCGAACTGGTGCCACCCTCGCCCGGCTTTTTAGTCGATCGATGTTCCCCCACCCAAGAATCTCCCTAGAAGAGTGCAAAAACCTGAACAACAGAGGTGGTGGCGAGTGGTGAGAGTGAGACACTCGAGAACATTCTAGCAGTCAAACGACACAAAACTGAAGTCTTTACAGAACGTATATCCTGCTATTGGGATGAGATTGGGACAGAAATATAGAACTCCGAAAAGCCTGAAAGCTGATATACATATTTTGAATCGCCAGACGATGCTGATTACGGATATCACCTTTTTAGTCACGAGAAACCCCTTCTTCAATGAGAAAAATCGGAAACACTGAAAATACCCGAAAAGAGGTGAAATTTTCGTTTTGAGAAAAAGGTCTGGATCATTTTGTTAAGAGGATCTACCAAACTTCGCTTATCATTTTCAAATTCCTTATTGAAAACGGAGTTTAGGCGACTTATGCGTGAGTTCATACACTCTAATACAGATCTTTTGTAGGCCTCGGAACCTGTTACACTCAAAATCCAAGAGTCTCCGCTCAAAAACCTATCTAGTTTTTTGTGTGAAGATCTAGAGCTTTGATTAGACCACTATCAAATTGGCCAATGCTTTAACTTCAAAAGTGCGGTTCGTTTTCCAAAAAATTACTTTTCATTGCTGAGAAAAACGGGTTTTACTAAAACCGAAAAGCCAACGGCCAGGTTATTTGCGATTATTTTTGGCGTTTTTCAACAAAATTTTAATCTGATCATCCCAAGTAGGTAATAAACGACGACGAATTCATGGAAATACTTTCCAGATCTCTAAAGGATCTCCAGGAGGTATCTGGAAAACTTTCAGTAGTAAAAGCTTCAGAACGTAGTAGTTCGGCCTGTCTGATTGCACGCAGTGAAGAATTTGTCAGTTTTCACTCTTCTCATTTATTGTTCAACATCTTATGCTGTACAGATCACATAAAATCAGAGTATTTAGAACCTAAAAATCACCGATCAAGAGAGCTAAGTACACTAAAATCAAAACATTACACTGTTGCACATCCAAATTACTATTACTTATTCTTGTATGACTTTTAACTATTCCTAGACACGCACTACCAAAAAGACTTTCATCACTTCAACATACATCTTTCCATCCTGATAAGCTTTTAGACATTTCCGAAATCTTCTCACTAACTTCACATATATTTGTTTTTGATGAAAGTCTTCTCGTGAAATTTCTAAAAGCAAATAAATCAATGTCATAACGATTGAAACGCTTATAGAAATAGTGAAACCGGAGGAGATTAATTCTCGATAAACTTTTTTACAGCCAAGAGAGCAATTCACTCGCGTACGGCGGTCATTTGAGTCAGAGTTGTAACCGGACCGGTTGAGTGAGTTGGACCGGCCGATTTTTACCGGTTTCACAAAGTTGTGCATATTCGTTCATTTTTCATCAGAAAGATACTATGTATGGGTGCTTAGTAGTTTTTTTAAAGGAAAGAGAGAGTGACAATTTTATTTGAAATGTAAATTTTT